TATATATTTAATTATTACATATCTTTCTGAAGTTCTATTAATACATGCAATGGTTTGAAAGCAAAGCAAAGCTATTGCTGGGAGAACCAAATAATTTACATTAAAGAACCTTTTCATTTCTGACAACTTCGGCACAAAAGAACCTTAATGTCCAACTTTTTAAATCATTCCTTGAAAGTCTCTAAAGCAAGCTTTATAAATCAACTGATTTAAGGTATTATTTATTTAGCCCAGGCCAAATAAAGATCTTCCAATAGAAGATCTTCCTTGCTATTCAGAACTTGTTATTTCTTCATTTTGAGATAGCATTACCTCAGGGATCAATATAGCTCAATCTGAGAACCTAGAGAAGGAGACATCGCCCTTTCAGTAAAGTGCATAAGGGCATCCAGCCTTTGTTCTTTCTTATCTGGAGTAGCTTGAGATGACAAAGGATGAAGCATCTTCTCCATTTTGGCAAGACACCATAGTAAAATAATGCTAGAAGATAATATTTGTAGCTCAGAGTTGAACTGTGGGATCCTTGGTGCTCGCTGACCTTGGTGGGGTTTTTTACAGACGTTTCATTACCAAACTAGGAAACATCATCACATTAAAATAATGCTATGATTAAATTTTAAGACAGACTATAAAGCTATGGCATAAATGACTCCTCATTCATCTATCAATATGAGCAATTTTATTCACAGGATTGGAGCAAAGTAAAGAGAGGCAACTGCTAAACAAATAATTCCCTCAACACTGTCAAACCAGTTACTAAGTCTGCATTACTATTACTATTAATCTTCTCATTGTTCCTATCATCCATATCCTCCCACTTATGACTGTATGACTGTAACCTTGTTGCTGGTATCCTTAAGATTTATATTGACTGTTTCCCTATGACTATCATTAAGTGTTGTTCCTTATGATTCTTGACGAATGTGTCTTTTCTTTTATGTACACTGAGAGAGTATGCACCAAGACAAATTCCTTGTGTGTCCAATCACACTACGCCAATAAAGAATTCTATTCTATTCAACAACCATTAAAAACAGAATCCCACATCATAATCCTGGCTAACCCGTGCATTGCCACTGACTATAAAAGTATCATTTATTATTCTGCCTTCATTGCTGCAGACTGAAAGATAAACTACCGTAGGCCCCTGAAGTACAGGTAGTCCTCGACTTTCAACAGTTTGTTTAGTGACCATTCAAAGTTACAAAGGCACTGAAAAAAGTGATTTATGACTGTTTTTCACACTTATGACCGTTGCCGTATCCCCATGGTCAGGTGATCGAAATTCAGATGCTTGGCAACTGGTTCATATTTATGACAGTCAAAGTGTCCTGGGGTCACGTGACCCCCTTTTGCGACCTTCTGACAAGCAAAGTCAATGGGGAAGCCAGGTTCACTTAACAACCATATTACTAATTTAACAACTACAGTCATTCACTTAATAACTGTGACAAGAAAGGTTGTAAAATGGGGCAAACTCACTTAACAAATGTTTCACTTAGCAATTGAAATGTTGGGCTCAATTGTGGTCGTAAGTCAAGGACTACCTGAACATGCCACTCACATAAAATGGTTAATTTCCTCCTACAAAGGGCACCAGGAATCCTGAAACGTCCATACCTAGTTCTCCTGCTGGTATATACCTACTAGAATTAAACAAGTGCAAATGTGAACTTTCTTTAGCTTTAAGAAATGTATGCTGCAGTAATAAGAAGTTACAGTTCCTTTGAAAAATAGATTCATGGCATCTTTGAAACAAGAGAAATATTTTCATGTCATCAAAAGTAACTCTGACACCAAAAAGCTGGCATGGCAGGCATAAAATCCTGAGTTGTTATGAAAGTGGGCCAAAGTACTCCTCGGGAGAATAATTATGCATGCATATTTTTATAAGTAAGGATATAAATATTAAGTTCAAGTTATTCTTTCTTTTGTATATTTCCTATGTGCCTTCATTTATAACAGAAGTTCCGGATAGACAATTGAATCTATATTTATTTTCATTTGGCAGTCTGGTTTATGAGTTCTTGCCACTTGTTCTCCATTATTAAACTGTTTTTCTAATTCTGTATTTAGCCAACTGATTACCCTTCGACATGCAATGGGAATTTAGCACTGTCAACATATGTCAAATAGAGACCATATTGCTTACATTGGAAAAGGATTATTTGAATCCTACCCTTATTTCAGCAGAACAAGTTAGTTCTGCATGCTGAAAATAAATGCAGACATTCTGTTACTGAAGGACCAAGGGACCTTGGGTGCTTTAGATGTTGGTCTCTGATTCTGACCAGCCCCAATCTCAGTCTCCCATGATGGGAGCTGCAGACAAGCAACATCTGGCGGCAACAGATGCCAGCTGGAGTCCCATCCCTTTGTAGGAAGGGAAACATTGTCTTGTCATATCTCCAGGAATACTGTATGCTTATCCAACATGTCACAGTCAGTTAGAAACCAGAAATTTTAGTTTCCCTTTCTGATGTTAGGGTAGCCTCTTTCCTTCATCCTGGCTGTAAAAAAAATATCAAGCTAACTTTTTGAATAACCTGTTTGAACAAACCTGCTTAGAAACATGCTAAAAGAATATAATTCTGATGGTGAGAGTTCCTCATTGTGCAGCTAGGAAGTGGAAAATCAGTGCCAACAAAAAATTTTCTTCAGTAACTTAACTGCACAGTAGGGAACAATTTAATCTAAACTGCATCCTTCCTAGTGTGCTGTCATGAAATATTTAATTTTTCACTGCATTAATTTTCAAAAATCTATACCCTAAATAGTCGTCAAACATATCACTGGAAAGGAAAATTATTACTAGCCATTTTTAGTTTATATGTAAACTATTTTATTGCACAGTTCTAAACTCATAAAAGCAGTGCAACTCCTAAAACCTTACCTGATTGGGTCCTAGGAAATTTTACATTGGTTAGATGTTTTTGAATACTGTCCTCTAAATCAAGACTAGATGTAAGCAAGCTTTTTTTTTACAGATTAAATGTTCATTCTCACAAACCATCTACTTTTCTTAAGAGGAGTAGATGTACAGTCTATAAATGTAGAAGTCCTAGATCAGTGATGGGGAACCTATGGCTCGCGTGCCGGAAGTGGCACGCAGAGCCATCTTTCTGGGCACACCAGCAGCCACCCGTTGCTGCACATGCACTGGCTAGCTGGTCTTCGCGCATGCGGTCATGCCAGAAACCGGAAGAGCAGCTCCCTGGCGCGCATGTGTGTGCCAGGAAGCTGAGCTTCCTGTTTCTGGCGCACACATACACACCAGCCAGCTGGTCTTCGCGTGTGCATGTGTGCCAGAAACCAGAAGACCAGGTAACTGGCACCTGCAAGAAACCACAAGCTCAGCTTCCCGGCGCATGCATGCACCCCAGGAAATTGCTCTTCCAGTTTCCAGCACTCCTGCGCGTGTGTGCAGGGGAGCTGTTCTTCCGGTCTCTGGCGCTCCCCTCCCCATCTGCGGTCCTGTTTTGGCACTCGGTGCTGAAAAGGTTCACAAACACTGTCCTAGATCCTCATAGTGGTGAGACAGATATCGCAGATATCGTGATGTTCACAAAAAGAAGTGACTTTCAATCAGCGGTGAAATGCTCCCGGTTCGGGCGATCTGGTAGCGATTGTGGCAGGTGGTTCGGACAACCGGTAGCAATGGGGTCCAAGGCTCTGCCCACCCACCCAGGTGTGTTTTTTACCCTCTGCACGTGCGCAGAAGGTTTTGTGCATGCACAGAGGGTCTGCACGCGCAAGTGACGCGTGGGCGCACTTCCGAACCAGTAAGGAAGGTAAGTAGATTTCACCCCTGCTTTCAATCATACACTAAACCTGCCATCTTGAATTGTAACTAGTTGTTATTATTTATCTGGAATATAAGAAAATGCATTTGAGAAATTAAGAAAACAGGAACTTCAGTCACTACTAAAATCATGCTACTGTTTACATTATTTTTTATATTTAAGTGTATATTTTTCTTGTGCTTTCTGCTCCTTTTTATTCATAGATGATGTTACAAACTAACTAACTAACTAAATAAATAAATAAACTAATTGCCCATGGTTATTATCTCTTGTTCACTGAAACAATTAAAGAAACAAACAAATTTTCATCAAAATATATACTCTTTTACTTTTGACTTCTCCATTCTCCTTGTCATTATTTGCTCATAATTTTAAACATCTTCTACAGTCTGTTCTAGAGAATTTAAAAGTTAAAACTAAACCTTTAAAATCGTGTTAGCAGTAGACTTTCAATTCTGTTTTACACTTGTTTAATATTTCAGTTTTTTAATTTATTGTATCGTCACTATGTGCTTTGTTATTTATGTTGTATACCATCTTGGTGACATTTATAGATGAGGGAAATACTGTAAGTTATATAATCAGATAAACATTCCAAAATTCAAAATTCTGCTTATCACACAAGCATTTTAAAATGTGAACCTTATCTCCATTCAAGAGCATTTAGCTATAGAAAATGGTATTAATGCATCCCAGCTGGACTCATTTGGTGTGGGCAGCTTATCCTTAAGGCACCTTTCTATGCTCAAATGTAAAAATATAGGTGGCCCTAAAACCTCTTCAGGAGCAGACTTTAGAATAAAGATTGTGCTCTATGGTTAATATGAGCTATGGATCCTGAATCCATGGACTGGCACTTCTGTAGTTGTCCCAAAGGTGCTTTTTCAAGAGGCAACTGGACTTTCTGGTTTTTCTCTGAAGATGTTTCGCTTCTCGTCCAAGAAGCTTCTTCTTCAGCTGAAGAAGCTTCTTGGATGAAAAGCAAAATGTCTTCAAAGAAAAACCAGAAAGTCCAGTTGCCTCTTGAAAAAGCACCTTTGGGACAACCTTGATCTGGATGACTGAGAATCTCCATAGACGACTTCTTTAGTTGCATCACTTGAGAGGGGGCAGTGAATGATTTGAGTGTGTCTGTGCAGCCTTTAGATTGCTCTTATGTTCTGTCTTTCTCTTCTCACAATGGTTTCACCACCACAGGTTTATTCCTGAGGACTGGTCTGCCTGCAGTGTGACCTGTGGAGTGGGCGTCCAGATGCGACTGGTGAAGTGCCAGGTGCTGCTATCCTTCTCTCAGTCTGTGGCAGATTTGCCCCTTGATGAATGTGAAGGACCTAAACCAGTGTCTGAACGAGCTTGCTATGGTGGTCCATGCAATGGAGAAACTGGTGAAGAGACTGATCTGCTCTTTAGGGGCTCACAAGATTTTGATGAACTTTATGATTGGGAATATGAAGGCTTCACTGAATGTTCTGAGGCTTGTGGTGGAGGTGAGTTCCATTTGCAATTTCTCTTGTTTCTTTGTTTCTTACATACTGGATTGTGGAAGTAATATACTTGGGTCCAGATTTTTTTTTTTTTTTACATTTAGACTTCATTAAAATCAGTGTGTCTGCCGGATCCAACTAATATACCCAGAATCCATCTCAAAGTTAGAGGCTTTAGATTTCAAACTATTTAACAAAATAATAGAATAACAGCACAACAGGGTTGGAAGAGACCTTGGAGATTTTCTAGTCCAACCTCTGGACTAATAGGAAATAGGTCAACTCAAGGTTGACTCAGCCTTCCATCCTTTCTAAGGTAGGTAAATTGAGGACCCAGATTGTGGGGGCAATAAGCTGACTTTGTATAAATATACAAAAGGATGAAGGCTATTGCTTAACGCATTGTAAGCCGCCCTGAGTCTCCGGAGAAGGGCGGCATATAAATCTAATAAAAATAAATAAATAATAAATAAATAGCAGGAAACCATATACCATTTCAGACAGATGTTTGTCCAATCTCTTCTTAAAAATCTGACCCACTGCTCGAGACAAGTCATTCCACTGATTGATTCAACTGTCAGGAAATGTATCCTTAGTTCTATGTTGGTTCTCTCCTTGATTAGTGTCCATGCATTGCTTCTTATTCACTTGTCTTATTTTAATTGAATTTGCTAGAAAATGGTAGGAAGGCTCGATTAACATCTAGCATATATGATGTGTTGGTAATTCCCTAAATCCAATCTAGATTCTTTCTATTCACCGAAAAGTAAAGATTCAGTCAAAGGTAAAATCTTACGTTAGTGGTGGTGGTATTTAACAAATGATTTTCTGTTGCTAAGTGAGACAGTTGTTAAATGAATTTTGCCCCATTTTTTGACCTTTCTTGCCACAGTTGTTAAGTGAATCACTGCAGTTGTTAAGTTAGTAACAGTTGTTAAGTAAATCTGGCTTCTCCATTGACTTTGCTTGTGGGAGGTCGCAGAAGACGATCACATAACTCCGGGACACCGCAACCATCATAAATATGAATCAGTTGCCAAGTGCCAGAATTTTAATCACATGGGCATGTGGATCCTGCAAGAGTCATAAGGGTGAAAATCAGTCCTAAATTACTTTTTTCAGTGCCATTGTAACTTCAGTCACTCAACAAATGTTTGTAAGTCAAGGTCTACTTGTATTTAGAGTACTGTTTCTCCTGTTTCTCCTTCATTCCTTAGTTGCTTACTGTTTATTTGGATTTTGCTCATAGAGTTTCACTGTGTATCTCTCTTATATCACAGAGAAAACTATGATACGGCCTGCAGAAAATGTTCATGATTTGGTTGTCAGGTAGAAAACCAAGAATATTCCTTAATGGTGATGTTCCATTTAGGGGCACCACAGATTCTTGAGTCAACTGGCAAAGGGATGGAAATCCCTTGGGGTTCTCCATGGCCTATGCACTTTTCATAGATTACAGCCACCACGCAAAGTTACTGCAACACAGAGATTTCCATCAGCTTCACCAAAATAGTCACAATGCGAGAAATCAGCCGTCAGTCTTCTTGTGGAAAAAGAAAAAGTGGCTTTGGAGAAGAACGATTGGAAACGAGGTCCAGATGTAAAACCCTTTTGAATTGAGAAGGTATCAAAATTCGCAGCTGGGGTCTTTCATATGACTAATGTAGTAGCCTGCTTGTTTACATTTCCTGCTGACCACTTACATTTGGGGCAGAGAATCATGTTTTTGGAGAGAAAGGCTAAGGCAGGAAGCGTCGGGTGTCATTTACTTTACATTGCCTGACGTCTGCCTCCCTCATAAGCAGAGACATATGGATCTCAAACACCTACGGCTCTTGCCTGTGTATTTCTTTTTCCTGGATCTGTTTGGCGACTCAGCTGGTTTTGATAGCTTATCCCACCAAATGATATTAGCTTAGATTTAAAGGGGAGAGGGAAAAAAAACTTATGACAGAAATAGCTAAGGAAACCACTGCCTGAAGCTAATAAACTTGGCACTTAAAGGAAAAGTCAAGGAGTATCACCATTAGTGCCTGTTATGAGAATTGCTTGATATACATTGTGTCCAATCCAAATGCCATTATTTTGGTATACTTGTTTATGGAGTGCTATGCACCTACCAATTCTAATCCTTAACTTCCTTAATTTCTCTGAAATGCTTACCTTCTTTTCCTTGTTGGAAGCTGAGATTTGCCATACAAAAGTTATGTTTACATAATAAGCAGTAGCATTTCAAAGGATGCATTCTGTATAATAGGATGTATAATAGGAAAATTGTTAAGGATATTGTTGTGTTACCAACCAGCAGAGTAAGTGCACAGAGAAACGGTACTGAGAGCAATGAATACAATACATACAAACTGGTTTAACAAAGCTTTTACTTTGTAGTGAAAAACAATTGCATAGTCTTTTAGTCAATCCAAGTCTTTAGCCATTCAAATCAATCCGAAGTTACAGATATCTTCTTACCAGACAAACAGCAGTTGGCAATAGACAGCCATTCAACGCTGGTAACAAATCACGATGGTAGCAGATCCATCCACGTCTTCACACACAACAGTAACAGTTCCAATCAACAGTTCCAGTCAAGCAGCAAGTCAAGCAATGATGAGAGCAAGTCCAACAATGATTATAGTCGGCTTCCTTCTTATATACAGTTTACACTAGTAATTATCTACTTAAGATAAGTGAAATCAGCAGTGCAATGACTCAACAGTACAATTATGATAATTGCAGTCAGCATTCAGTCAGCAGTCATTAGTCATTACAATGACTCAGCAGTACATCTTAGAGTTACCAAATACATTTAAAGTTATAGAACACATATATTGCCTGGACAACTTGTTAGGTTTATACCATATCCTAACAAAAATCTTACAGAGTGAACTTTTTCAGACAGTTCATCCAATTTCCTACCCACAATAAGATGTGGCTTTTCCTTCCTATTTGGTTCTGAGATACAGTTAAGAAAACAGCTTTTTAAAGCTTTAATCTTCAGTATATCACAGTAGTAACTGGACTTGCAGTCTTACCGAACCACAGAACAGGTGGCAGTTCTGTGCATCCAAGGCAGCTTCCCTATTACAGGTATCCCCCAATTTACGAACATAATTGAGACCCGAATTTACATTGCTTAACAATTTACATTGTTAAGTGAGTCACATTTGGTTTTACAACCATTTTTGCCATGGTTAGCAATAGTAATAGCACTTAGACTTATATACTGCTTCACAATGCTTTAGAGCTCTCTCTAAGCAGTTTACAGTGTCAGCATATTGCCCCCAACAATCTGGGTCCTCATTTTACCGACCTCGGAAGGATGGAAAGCTCAATCAACCTTGAGCTAATCAGGATTGAACTGCCAAACTGCAGGCAGCCGGCAAGTAGCCTGCAGTACCGCATTCTAACCAGTGGTGGGTTCCAACCGATGTTACTACCGGTTCTCTTCGTGCACACACTTTGCATGTGATCGCTGCGCACTTGCTAGCTTTGCTCGCAGGCGCGCCAAACTTGCGCATCGCGCAAGCACGTTAGGTTTCTGGGTAGCTGAGGTGCAGTAATCCACTCTGCTGCGCCTATCAGCTGGGCTAAAACCAAAGAAATAAAGGTTGGAATGAAGCGGGGGCGGGCGGGAGGGCCCAGCTCCAGTCACAGAGAACCAGTTTGGTGATGTCACATCGTCACCGCTACCAGCTCGGCCAAATCAGGCCGAACTGGGAGCAACCCACCACTGATTCTAACCACTATGCCACCCCTGCTCATTAAGTGAATCACTAGTTGTTAAGTGAACCATGCATTTTTTAAGCAAATCCAACTTCTCCCATTGACTTTGCTTGTTGCAAGTTGGCTGGGAAGGGTTGCCCACATGACACTGGGATGCTGCAACTGTCACAAATACATGCCAATTGCCAAGCATCCAAATTTGGTCCCCATGACTGTGGGGGGGGGGGGAGAATTGGATGACCTTAAGTGTGAAAACTGATCATATGTCACTTTTTTCAATGCTGTTGTAATTTTGAATGGTTAGTAAACAATAATTGTAAGTTGATCACTAGCTTATGGCCCCCAAACTCAGTGTCAAGTCTAAGTCAAAAGAAAAATTGAAATAAGGTATGGCAAACAATTTTGTTTGATTGTATCTCCTTGCCTATTGCTAAAAGAAGTACAGAAAAAAATCCAATATCCTTGCCCTTTCCAAGTACAGGTAGTCCTTGACTTACGACCTCAATTGAGCCCAGAATTTATGTTGCTAAGTGAGAAATCTGTTAAGTGAGTTTTGCCCCATTTTATGACTTTTCTTGCCACATTGGTTAAGTGAAACACTGCTGTTGTTAAATTAATCACACTGTTTTTAAGTTCCCCATTGACTTTGCTTGTCAGAAGGTCGCAAAAGGGGATCCCATGACTCTGGGACACTGCAACCGTCATAAATGTGAGTCAGTTGTCAAGCATCCAAATGTAAATTACGTGATCATGGGGATGCTGCAACAGTCATAAGTGGGGAAAATGGCCATAAGTCACTTTTTCAGTGCTGTTGTAACTTTGAATAGTCACTAAATGAACTTGTAAGTCGAGGACTACCTGTGAGTATGTTTAATTAGCTTGTAGCATAGCTTTGAGCAAAATCAAGCTTTACTTGATTCTCTTGTGAAAATATAATTAGAAACGTTCATTTTTTCATCAAGTTTTACCTCAGTTTGAAGTTTTATGTTCATGAATTCCCGCTCATGCATGTGTCATCCTACTAAATGAAGCATTCATAAATAAACGAAAAGAAAACAAAGACAGAGATTGCGGTGTCAGACCGCGGTGGGGTAGATTGATTAGGAAACTTGGAGATGAAATCAGTATAGAACCATAACAAATTGTAAAACCAGAAAGTCTTATAATGATAAAAGAATAACTTGTTTGATTGCCAGTGGTGTCAACCATCTCATCAGTTAAATGTTCCGAGAGAAGTTAAGATAGGACACTATTTCTCATGCATTGCTATTGCTAGGATCATATCCTATTGTGAAATCTCTGGTTTCAGTCTTCATAACCAATTGTCAATATGCAAATACCGAACACTTAATCTAAGACCCAATTTTAACAGAAATACTTTGATGGTACTGAGTAAAAATAAAGTATTGCCTCTGGGCTTTGCGGCTATGTTTGTATTTATTATCCTTGTTTATCGCACTGCATGTGTTCAGTTCAGTGTCTTACAGTTGTTGGCAAAACAGCTGCCTTCCAGCATGTTTGAAGAAACTCTTTCTGTTCACACAATTAAAATGAAATAAATACATTTAAAATAATCTTACATGACAGATAAGTTAATTGTATTTTTTTCTACTCTCCATAGATGAAATATAATAGACACAGAAGTAGGCTTTTGCCCTCAAAGGAATAGCAGCCAGAAGGAACTAATTAGTAATTTAGTCTATATTCAGTGGCTACGTCTCCTACCACTGTCATCAAGTATCATGTAACAATTATGTTCTGCTAGTAGATATAAACATTGCAAATCTCATTTGATGGTATATTGAAACTGAATTAAAAGCTACTTAGATTCATACCATGTCTTACTCTTGTATCATGTGGCATTTTAATTTCCAAATCATAAAGAAAGATTTTTCAAGGGAAGTTAAATTCAGCTTCTATGTTAAAATTATTGATATTTTTTTAAAACTTGAATCTCAAATTCTCAAATTGTAATGAATGATTTTTTTTTACTCCCAATTCTGAGCAGCTTTTTCTCATTATTTATTATTGCATTGACTTAAAACCATTTTTTCATCCTATTCTTCAGGCAGAAAGTTTTCCACAGAAGCTCACATATAACCAGTGAAAGTAGAACAGTCTTTATTTGCAAACTTACAGCCTACAAGATACAATACAAAGGAGGAACAATAAAGAAGGGAGGGGGAAACAAACCAATGTTTGGAGCAAATCATAAATTTAAATAGTATTGTTTAGTTCAAGGAAAAGAGCAACCCTTATCCTAGAGTTAAAGCTCGACCTAATTAAATAACTTGATTAGGAAAAAATATTTGGCTTCTTTATTATATATTACAGATTTATTTTTTAATTATTTCATATTATGTTTATATTAATGTAAACATAATAAAACAGAAATAATTACTACATTAAATTGTATGAGTTTACATTCTTTAACTCATAAAGTCAAATAGTTGTTTTTTTTTAGTTCAAGGAGAGGAGCATTCCACCAAGCATTCTTCCTTGCTATGAAATGCTATATATAGCCCTTTTCTGTAATAATGAGAAGCATATTATACAGTATCCATTTGCCAAAAATGCAAATATGACAAAGAACAGGAAACAATTCCAATGCTCTGACTAGTGTTTCCATACATTACACACTTGCAAACATGTGGTTGTAGTATTCATACTTGACTATTTTCAGTGTAAACCTAAACCTGCATTTTAGTGAGCTTTGGTTTATTGTTGTTCCTATTATTTACACGGGGAAGCATTTTTTTCATATTGATGGGTGAATACATAGAACTCTCACCAATAGGTTGCTGTTAAATCACAATTTATGTATTAGAACTTTTTCTGTTCATGGCAAATTCCTGTTTATTAATTCATAAACTTGTTCTGTTTTGACATCTGTCAGTGATAAAACTCCATTGAAATCCCATTTGTAATGTCTGTTTTCTACACAATGTGAATTCATGTGTGCATTGTATCACAAAATACTCATTTGCCTGAATTTTATATCCATGTCTATGTATTTTTGAGCCAAAAAATTAAGTCATGAGCAAATGATTATAAAACATTGTATGTCTTTGTGGGGATACTGCAAAATCACGTTAGCATGGAATAAACCAAAATATGTCAGGCTTAACAGCTCTGAGAATTTTCTCTCTTTTTTTGCTAAAATGCGATGTTGTTTTGAGGAACAATGCTTTGACCCATCACAACAAAAAGGCATGTTTGTTTTAAACTTTGGCTTAAAAAATAAGTCACTGTGTTGTCTATTCTTCATAAATGAGCGTGTTATGTTTTCTCATTCAACAACGTTTTTTCAAGCTTGCTTGTTGGTTTTATAAACATTCTATCATCTTCAAAAGATTTTGATGCTTCAATGAATTGAAGCACTGTGCAGCTTCTTCTCCTTCTATACTCTTCTTTTTATCTCTGCAGTAGAGGCAATGCCAAAGGTTTAACCCAAGCTAAACATCACCATTCAAGTAAATCTTGAAATTATAGTCAGATGACCTTTGAACAGGGTGTCCAGACTGCAAAGACCATTCCCGTACATTGTAGCATTTGGTTTCCTAAGGCCTGGGCAGGCTGTTTATTCCAGCGCTAGAAACCAGAGGTGGGTTTCAGCAGGTTCTGACCAGTTCTGGAGAACCGGTAGCAGAAATTTTGAGCAGTTCAGAGAACCGGTAGTAAAAATTCTGACTGGCCCCGCCCTCATCTATTCTCTGCCTCCCAAGTCTCAGCTGATTGGGAGGAAATGGGGATTTTGCAGTATCCGTTCCCTGGAGTGGGGTGGGAATGGAGATTTTACAATATCCTTCCCCTGCCACACCCACCAAGCCACGCCCACCAAGCCATGCCACACCTACCAAGCCACACCCACAGAACCGGTAGTAAAAAAAATTGAAACCCACCACTGCTAGAAACCATCATGAAAACACTGGTGGGCGGCAGTGAATTTGCATATTTTTGCTCCCCTTAATTAGTTTGTCCTAATGTTAGAGATTGGAGGTTGTACTTGAAGTCTGTCAAGAAATTACCAGAGGATACAGTGCTCTTGTCTTCTAATAAATGTTTTATCTTGAAGTGTCGAAATGTTCAAAGTGTGCTGGAAGATCATAGAGGGTGAAGGAAACAGAATTATGGGTCAAGTTTTCTTTTTTTTTAACCTTTCTTTTTATTTATGAAATTACATTGCGCAATTACACTGGAAGCATGTGTAATTTGTTTTTACATAAAAGGTTATGTCAGAAGAAATGACAGCAAACTGAAAAGTATCTTGAAGATGAGCTCTATAAAATTCAGCTAAGCATAGGTTTCATCTCATTATGAAGTCTGCTCCGTGTTCATGTAGATAGCATGCAACCCTGATCTCTCTCTGCAACGCTTTTTTAGCTAGAGTTTTTAATAATTATCTGTAAGTTTTTGGAGACAAATTGAAACGAAGCCTTAAGGGTTTCAGAAAACACTGGATTAATCTGTTTTCTATGCCATTTTACAAATATATTCATAGCTCTAGTTGGAATAAGACCCTCAAGCTGTTTCAAACCCACTGAACTCACTAAAACCCAATAAACTTGTGCTTTCTATTTATCGGCTCTTTAGGACTTCTAAATCTTTGTTCCACTTCTGTAGACCCAGAACACGCAATTAGAATGATATACTGTATGCGCTGCTATCTAAAAGGGTGGTTTTGATTCAGTGCTGGATTTCACTTTAGAACAATAAACGTTAAATGTGCATTTCCTTTAGCTGCAGGCAATAGGGTTACATCACTCTATTTCTTCCTAGAAAAATAAAAATAAAACAGCTACTGCATCTAACCAATAAAAAAAAAGGAAGATATTTTTCAGTTGTCTAGAAGACCTATTGTGTATCTGCCATGTGGCGTTACATTTCCACTTGTAAGTCACTATGCTCCTCTGTGGGTAGTAACCATGTGTGATGCTGCCCTATTGACAGTAGAGAGTATCAGATTGCTTTCCCAAAGGCACCAAACTCCCAAGCTGGCTGCTCCAAAGGATCTCTTGTTTTAATATCATGTCTGCAGTTCTCTTTGCTGACTCTGTACTTGGAATGCAGCCGGCAGGATTTTAAACATTAATTTGATTTAATTTGGTTTGTGTGTCCAGGTGTCCAGGAGGCTGTAGTGACTTGCCTGAATAAACAGACCAGAGAATTTGCAGATGAAAATCTATGTGTGAGCAGTCGGCGCCCCCCACAGTTGCTGAGATCTTGTAACCTGGAACCTTGTCCCCCAAGGTAGGCTGCTGTTGCTCTTTGCTTCTCCTTCCTATGTGTCCTCACTCAGCGCCTTGAGAAGTCATCTGCACTTTGCCACGTTGTATTTGAAAGGGAGAAATTTAACACAATTGGGAACATATTTCCTGGCACCCACCACAAAATAACTGCACTGATTTAAAGTGAATTATTTTCCTATCCACTTTATTATATTCAGGGTTATTTCTAGGACAGTATGTGTGTAAGTAATTCCACTCTACAATGGAATTCAAGATGTTCCCGATGTCTGTTCTGTTTGTTCTGTTATTTTCCAGGCTATTTGCCCATACCTGGATTGGTGTGAATGGCAACAGTCAGCCGTCAGAAGTTGCAAGGAAAATGAATTTGTTCAAGTACTTTATGTGGAACTGAACACTTTTTAACGTATCAAATTGAATTGGAATGACTACGCTCAAGGGTTTTCTGATTTGCTTAGTTTTTGTCTTATACCTTAAAGTTTCTCAACCCTACAATTACTAATCTGGTCATTTGTAGGGCTTCAGTTTAGCAAAAATTGATTTAGGCTAATCTTGTCATCTGCGACAGTTTGTAAAAACATTTGATACATGAGTTCATAAGGAACATCAATAAAGAAGCTGTAATCATTTTGCACTTCAGTTTATATTTCCTGATGGTCATTCTTCAGCTTTAAAGCACACTAAAGATGATTTTAGAAACCAAGAAGACTTACTTCAGAGAAAGCGGTCAGCAGATTACCGTTTTAAAATGGTTTTGACATAGTCACTACCAGTAATACCTTGGTAAAAAGGCAATTTTTACTTAAAAGTGATTCTATCCCTTTTGCTTTTCTCATTAAATTGTCAAAATTATTTTAAATGTAAATGATGCTTTGAAGAGAGTATGCAGAAATGAACAGACTATATGGCCTTTTGAAAAGAGGAATCTTCCTGATAAATCTTAGATTCTACAATAAGAACATGTAGTGTCAACACTGTTTAGCAACATTCAGACATACGGGGATGGTTTGCTTCTACCTTGTGTTTGTATGCTAAGTGTGGGTGTGGGTTGCAGAAGGAAGGAAGAGAAGTAAGTAAGGAATAAAACCCAGATGGATGGAAATAAAAGAAATTCCAGGCAAATTCAGTAGCTTTGCTCTTAAAATAGTTTCAAAGCTAAGCATTTATTTTTGTGCAAATAACTGAATGGTAATAGGTGCACACTAGGTGGGGGAAATTTCAGATTTCCAGAGAAGGCAAAAATTTGTATATAACTCTCTGAAATAATATGCTACCTATAAGAACAGAGACTAGACCAGAGGATGGCAACTCAATAGCTCCAGGCAAATCTGATATATTTCAGAACCTCAATAATTAATAAATGCCACAGCTGTTCCATTGTATACTAATCTATATTAGGGCATCTTTGTCTACTTGTCTTCTGTAAAGCTGTTCAAATACTTGATTCATTTTGATGTGCTCCCTTTTTTCTTTTTTTTCTGACTACCATATTTTTTGGAGTATAAGAGGCACCTTTTTCCCCCAAAAAAGAGGGTGAAAATCTAGGTGCGTCTTATACTCCGAATGTAGCCCCGCCCAGCTTCTCAAATGGATGTTTCAGAAGCTGAAAAAAGCATCAGAAATGAAGCTTCAGAAAAGAAGCCCCCAAACAGAGCTTCAGAGGCTTTTTTCTGAAGCTGTTTCGGAGGCTTTCAGAGGGAGGAAAAATGTTTTTTCTGAAATGGAGTTTCAGAGGCAGAAAAAAAAGCAAAAGAAAGCAAGGCACAGAGCTCACAACCAAGGAACCTGTTGCTAAAATTCACCTCTGGGAACAGCTGATTGGGGGTATTCCTGGCGGCCAATCTACCTGTCAATCAGCTTTTTTCTTATTTTCCTCCCCAAAAACTAAGGTGCATCTTATACTTCGGTGCGTCTTATACTCCAAAAAATACGGTAATTAAAAAAACCCTCACACTCCCATATTAGAAAACATGTACTAACAATACTACTTTAATAATACAATTACTGCCAATAATTAATAATACAAATACATTAGCCAATATGTATAAAATGCTACATGGATAGCTCTTGATTTACAATCACTTATTTAGAGACAGTTTGAAATTAAAGCAGCACTGAACAAAAGTGACTTACAACCAGTCCTTGCACTGTATGATCATTGCAGCATCCCCAAAGTCATATGATCAATGTTCAGGTGCTTGGCAACCAACTGCATTTATGTCAGTGCAATGTCCTAGATTCAAGTGACTACCATTTACAACTTTCCCAGCTGGCTTCTGACAAGCAAGTCAATGGGGGAAGCTAGATTAGTTTATGACTGTAGGCGATGACCAGGCTGAGCCTGAGGGAGGGATCAAATGTGTCATCAGTCTCGAATCTCTTTGTAGCCACAAAAGATCTAAGCCCAGCCCACCTTGCTCTCCATTGATTCTTATCAACCGCCCATTTGGTTGGACCGTCGGTAGTTCAGATTCTTGTAGAGCAGGGGTGTCAAACTTGTGGCCTGCGGGCCATGCCCACCCCTGTTTTAGAGAGTTTAAAAAAGTCACAATACATGTCAACAACATGATGACGCAAGTTTGACACCCCTGTTGTAGAGAGTTTAAGCTTGCAATAAATCTTTATACTCATTTGAACTGCCTGGATTTCCTGATTTCCCCGGCGCTTGACAATGACCCTGTGTTTCATTTAACAACTGCAGCGATTTGCTTAACAACTGTGGTTAAAAAAAAAAAGGCTGTAAAATGGGCACAACTCATTTAACAATCACCTTGCTTAGCAATGGGAATTCTGGTCCCAGTTGCGGTCATAAGTCAAGGACTACCTGCACAAGACTTGAGGTAGTGGATAGTATTAAAGAAGAGACAGAGATCAATTCCAATGTTCCTTTATAAGCTTTTCTGTTATATTCCAGAATAGCAACTTCCAATTTGTTCAGAAAACATAAACGTAGATCCCAAAATAATTTTCACATATCATTAGATGGGGTATCTCACTAGTCTCTTTTATATCTCATCCCTGAGAGGTTTGATGAATAAATATCTCTCTTTCAGGCAGTTTTGTTCTGTATCTAAAACTGTGGTTGGCTGCAGATACTTTTCCTTTCAGGAATAGTTCAAAAGGCCATTTCGATCCCTTTTGCTCTTTCTGTTTAATGCAGAAGAAAAACAAAAGATACCATATTATCAATGAGAACATTATAACCAATTTAATAGCATATTAAATTAAATATCCTGTATCAAAATAATCTGGGGGTCAAATCTTGAGATACATCTGGGAATGCCAAGCTCCTTTTTAATTAAAATGTTTTGAAGTCATCAGGGGGGGAAATGCTTAAGTATCACATTATTCAAAGAAAAAAAAATAGCAAAAAGGAAGTTTAGACTGGGAAAATTACATGAAAGAAGTGAAGCTTAATTAATTATCTTATCCTAATCCCTTTAAAGTGTTTTTCTTTCTTCACGTTTGATATGCTTTAAATGGTTGAGTATGGGAGGGAGTGACAAAACAGCCAGAAAAAGTTCAAGACATTACTTGCAAAAATCTATTGCCAAAATCACCTGCCAACAAAAATCTCCTTTTCATCTACCAGTCATTTGGTAACAAAACTTACTTGCATGAAAATAAAAATTGTTTTGAATGTTTTACCACATTCTCATTTTCAGTGAGAGACAAAACTGTGAAATAAATGGTAATATCTTGGAATAGGAAGACAGCATAAAGGGTAGCTGATAACTTTATCCTTAGAACAGGAGAAGAACTGCAATATTTTTAAATGTCCCCGTTGCATTTCCTTTCTCCTTTCCTTGTTCCCTGTCTATGGGGATTGAAAATAATGATGTGTAAAATGGAATGAATACAGTCTGGTTAACCTTGAAGTCTAGAGGGTTTTGGTTTTTTTTTTTCAAATTTGAACACTGAGTACCAATGCCTTCCTAAATTGCAAAAGAATGCCTTTTTAAAAAAATAAACCACACTTTCAATTTATTTGAGTTGCTGCAAAATGTTTAGGAAAGTTTTTTTTAAAAAAAATATTTCTGCAAACAGTTCTGGAGGAACCGAGTCCTGAGGACCCGGTTTGTGGGGGCAATAAGCTGACTTTGTATAAAAAAGAACACCACTTAGGGGGGGCCCAAAAGCTCTACTAAGCAGGTATATACAAAAGTATGAAGGCTATTGCTTAAAAGCATTGTAAACCGCCCTGAGTCTCTGGAAAAGGGCGGCATATAAATTGAACCAATCAATCAATCAATCAAAAATAAATAAAAAATAATAAATAAATAAATAAATAAATAAATAAATAAATAAATAAATAAATATTAGGCTAAGAGGGGACGAATGCCCAAATTCACCATATTCATAGAATTTTAAAGTATGGTGGCCTTGGAGCCCATATTTAAAAGACAGATGAGCCTTTGCTGTTGGTTTGATTAAAAATGTTTTTCTACCCCTCTTATACCAGCAGGGCAGTTTATACAATATTTATTTTAAAAATCCTAGTAAAAATATACATGACAACAAAAGGCAACAGTTATATAAAACTATCAGCTTTTAATTGGTTGAGCAAACAATCAGCATTTGATCCGATGCTAGAAAGAATGATTCACGTTGAAGTCAATTCCATGAGAAATTTGTAGCCTAGAAGGTACACCACTGAACAGGTTTACTGGGCAGTACTCCTGCCCAGTAAACCATCTTTCAAGCTGATTGAAGTCCCTTTTATGAATTTGTGAACCTCCACAAATTGCCCACAGCACCCACAGTAGACTGTCACAATTTCAATCTGGCTACCTACCAAAGAACCCTTTTCCTTTTTAACGAGTTTGGAATCCAAACCAACTGTGAAAATTTGAACTAGTAAGAAGGAAAAGGTTTTGAATTTGCCCCACAGTAACAACTGAATAGACTACTGAACACATATCCCAGTCAAGTGGCTATTCTTATTTCTACATTTGTGCTTTTGCTTATAAGGTAATGTGTACTTTTATACTTGGTTCCTCTTTT